GCCCTCGCAGTCTTTACTCGGGTCAATCATAAAGAAGGGATTAAGACCATTAATTCCTCCCCCCGCTGCAATTAGCAACCTGGCTGGGCAGAGGCTGGTGAGGAGCGGCTGAGATGTCTGCTGCGCTGGGTGGTCCTGCAGTGTCGGGGTGGGGTGGGGGGACACCCCCTTTGTGCAAATTAGCCAGGCACCCCACAGCAAGCAGGTCCTGGGGTCCCCGGAGGGGAGACAGCGTGGGGACAGACCTGTCTCACCTGGCATGGCAGGGGTGCCCGGTGCCTGCCGCCGCGGAGGAGCGCGGCCCCGGGGGGCTGGAGGGCAGCGCCAGGCGGTTGCAGATGGTGGGAGCTGGCGGAGGCAGAGCAGTGGCCGGGACAATGGCGGGATTGTGCAGCGGCGCCGCTCGGCACAGCTCGGCACGGCTCGGCGCAGCACCCCGCGCCAGCAGCTGGGCACCGCCTTGCACCGCTGGGGCTGAGGGGACACGGCGGTGTGCCCCTTGTCCCCATGGGTGACAAGGGAGCTGCATCGGGTGGGCCGGGGTGGCCTCATTCTGCAGTGCCACCCGCCGCAGCAGTGGGTGCTTGGGGGGGCCGTGCTCCAGGCTCTGCAGCCATCAGCCCCGGTCGGAGGAGGCTGCGACTGGCGGGGGCTCAGAGCTGCTGGCACCCAATTTACGTGGCAGGGTGGGACCAGCGGGCAGCTGCCTGCTGGAGCCAGCTGGGGAAGGCTGGCCAGTACGGCTGGCTGCGGTGGAAGATGTGAACTGATGGAGATGGCGACCATGGCGTGCCTCCAGCCGGTGTCCTCCCCACTTCGGCACCTGGGCCCCGCCATCCTGTGCCGTGGGGTTGGGGGGGACCGTTCGGTGTGGCGGCTAGCCCCACGCCGGCACGACTCGGGCTCTTTGCCATAGCGATGCAAGGTGCGCTCCTGGTCGTGGCTGGAGACCCCCCGGTTAACAGCGCAGCAGCACCGTGGCTTGGCGGTTACAATGCCACAAGGTGGGCGGGCAGGCTGGTAAATCCCGGGCTGATCCGGCCCGGCGCTCAGCTCCCTGCTTGGCGGCTGAGCGGGGCTGCTGCTCTGCGGGGCGGAAGAGGCGCAGGGCTGCAGGAAAGGCAGCCGCAGGCGGGCGCGAGATAACGCCATCGGGCGGCTTTATCTCACATCCTCCCGTCCGGTGCTTTTCCTGCTGCGCTCCCCGCTCCGGCCCCAGCACCCGTTGCTTTCGGCGTTAAGGTGTGACCCGTCCCAATGCCGCCAGGGGCGGGTCCCCCACCTCCCCAACAGCCGGGGACGGGTGCCCCAGCTGCATGGCAGCGGGTCATCCACCTTCCCAGCACCCCAGCGCCCATTTAGGGTGCACCCCAGCCTTGCTACCTCCCAGCGTCTCCCTGCCCGGCATGGAGCGCGATGCTTAGGAAAGGGCAGTCAGTCCTGCCGCCGCAGCCTTCCCTCCCCACGTGGCCTGGCGAGCTCCAGGCTGGAACCCGAGCCCTGCATCGATCCACACTGCATCTTAAATCCCGCAGCAGCTGAAGCAAGCGGTTTTTAGCGTGAGAGCGGGGGGGTTTCTCTGCAGGCGAGCCAGCTCTGGCACCGGGGTGAGACGGGCTGTCTTCCTCTGCTGGTACCGTGGTGGTTGGCGCGGGGACCTTGCCCCCGTCAGCGTTTTAACGGCGATGCCCGCAGCTCGGCTGCCGAGCCGTGTCCGTGGGGAAGGATCCTGGGCTGTAGCGGGGTTGCTGGGGTTGCATCATGGCTCGGCTGTGATGAAGGGGACACAAAGGGTGACAGATGAGCAGGAGCGGGGTGCAGGGGGTGCAGGGATGCCCCTCGCTCTGCTGCATCACCCCTGGGCAGGAGCAAGGATCCTGGCAGAGCTTTCCGCACGTGGCCACATCCCTGCCCGGACTCCAGAGAGGAGGCTGCCGGGACAGCCAGGATGGAGGAATGGGGTAGGCGAGGGGCCTCCTCCCAGCGCTGCCCTCCCCCAGCTGCTGCCGGGGTGGGGACGTGGGTTCCTGCTCCGCTAAGCCCTGCAGCTTTTCTCCTCTAAAGCCTGATTACTCCGGCGGTGCCTGTGCGTGCGTGTGTGCGTGCTCGGGAGGGGAGGAGGAGGAATTTCACAACAAGTGTTTGCAGCCACGCTGGGCCCAGCTGCCCCAGAGCTGCCCCAGGGATGGCGGCATCGCCCCCCCTCCGGGGAATGGCGCCGGGGGAGGGCTCTCGCCGTCGCTGCTGAGCCCCTGCCTCCGTCGGAGCGGCCGGGCGCCTGCGGTGGGCGTGCGGGCAGGGCGCGCTGGGGCATGGCAGGAGGTCAGCACTGGGGCTTGGAGGTGGACGCTGTGGCTCCCTGTGGGGTTTGAAGGCGGATGCTGCGGCTCCTCATGGGGCTTGGAAGTGGATGCTGCAGCTCCCTATGGGGGTTGGAGGTGGACGTCATGGCTGCCCATGGGGTTTGGAGGTGGACACAGCAGGGACTCAGAGGTGGACGCTGCAGCTCCCCATGGGACTCGGAGGTGGGCGCTGCAGCTCTTGGTGGGGTTTGGCGGTGGACGCTGTGGCTCCCTGTGGGGCCTGGAGGTGGATGCTGCAGCTCCCCATGTGGCTTCCGTCCCCTGTCCAGCGCTGGTGTGCGGTGCTGCCCTGGGGACAAGGGTCCAGGAGGAGAAGGAGGAGGAGGAGGAGGAAGAGGAGGAGGAGAGTGAGGGGCGCAGCCTAGCCTGAGCTGGGTGAACAGCATCATCCAAGGGGGGGCGTGGGAGCTGGGGTGCAGCCCTGCAACCTGCTGCCTCCGTGGCACCCGGCCAAGGGGGACATGGGTGGCCACAGGGTGGGGACCAGGCGAGCCTCGCACGAGCTCCGGCTGCCGGCTCAGGAGCATCCCACGGGCGCCCGTGGTCCCATCCGGCGTGGGGGCCGCACGCCGCTGGAGCGGAGCAGGAGATGAGCCCCGTGACTTCCCTGGGGCTGCAGTCCCTGGGGGAGGAGAGCCGGGCACAGAGAGCCTTTAAGCGTCGGAGTGCCATTGCTACCAGGCCAGGACTTCCTCTGTGACCCCCCATTTCTGTCTGGATGGCGACCCTTTTAAAGAGCAGCGGAACGGATCTCCACCGAGGTCCGTTCCCTGGAGTTTCTTTGTTCGCAGCGCTGAGACTTTCATGGCAGGGGGAGGAAGAGCCGCTTTGAAAAGCCCGTTGGCTCTTGCCAGCGCTAACTCTCTTTTCTTTTCCACTTCCAGAGCCGCATGTTGTGTACCAGAGCCGCAGAGTATGTCTTTGCACTGAGATCGGACTGAAGTCCTCTGCAGCCGGCGCTGGAGGAGACGCCCCGTTGATGAGCGTTCCCGTCTGAGCTTTCCCTGGTGGCTGGCGGGCTGGTGCTACCAGAAGGGCTTTGGGGGTCTTTCGCTTTGGCGTTGGGGGTGGGTTTTGGGGGGTTTTTTTTGGGTTTTTTTTTTTTTTTATTTTGGGTTTGGTTTTGTTGTTGTGCTCTGGGCACCATGTCAAATTCGGGCTCCCATCAAGACACTGGGAACAAGCCAGAGACGGAAAAAAATAACCAAGATGACTCTCAACCCCCTGTCAACTCCGAGAGGAGGAACAAAAGTGGAATAATAAGTGAACCTTTGAACAAAAGTCTTAAGAAGTCCCGTCCACTCTCCCACTATTCCACCTTTGGTAGCAGCAGCTCGGTAAGCGAACATTCAGAGAAAGGCAACCCCTTAGCTAATGGCAACGAAGCGACTGTGGATAAAAGTCATTCTACCTCAAAGCACAAAAACATCTCTAGTATGCTGAGCAAATTAGACCGGGTGTCGGAGATCTCCTCAGAAGGACAGACCGCTCTGCAACAGTTTGCTCAGTCGACAGAAATGCTCAAAAGAGTGGTACAGGAGCATCTTCCTCTAGCAAGCGACCACGGGACTGGTATCTCTGACATGGAGGCAGTCTCAGCTGCAGAGACAATGAACGGCCCCTCTGATTTTCCTTACCTGGGGGCTTTTCCCATCAACCCAGGCCTTTTCATTATGACCCCTGCCGGCGTGTTTCTGGCAGAGAGCGCGCTCCATATGGCTGGCTTGGCAGAGTATCCCATGCAGAATGAGTTGGCATCTGCCATCAATTCGGGGAAAAAGAAACGGAAAAGATGCGGCATGTGCCCGCCCTGCCGAAGACGGATAAACTGCGAGCAGTGCAGCAGTTGTAGGAATCGCAAAACTGGCCACCAGATTTGCAAATTCCGAAAATGTGAAGAACTCAAAAAGAAGCCTTCTGCAGCACTGGAGGTAACCGGCCCCTCTCAGGCACCCTAACCCCTCCTCGGGCTGCGCTCCTGGGTTCGGATCTTGCCCTAGATAATAAAACACCTGGTACTTCTTACTTTTTTATTTTTCCCTTTTCCATTAACAGTTCTCACCGTGAGATGTGTGCTCTGCCCAGTGCACCCAGTCCCTGCCCTCCCTTATGTACTGGGGTTGATCAGCTCGGGGAGGAGGGCGGGGGTCTCTCCCCGGGGTCCCCGGGCGCGCTGGGTTTCGCTCTCCCCTTTGCAGGCATGGGCAGCAGCGGGTCTCTGCTTGAGTTTCAGTGCCGGCAGCCCTTGTCCTGGGCGGGCTGCAGCTCCCCGAGCCAAGCAGCGGCTTCTAACCCGGCGGTTGGGTCAGAGGATGGGGAGGCAGGAGGCGGCTTTTCGGGGCAGAGCTTGGGGGTGATCAGTGACGGTGAAACCCGTGGGCTGGAGCCCAGCCCCTTAGCTCACTCTTCGCTCTGAGCAGGAGCACGGCAGTCCCTGCTTTTGGGTGGTAAACAGCTGCAGCGTGTGCTGGGCAGCATCTCCCGTGCTGTGGCTGTGCCAGGTCTCCCTGGGCCAGCACCCGTCTGGGGCGGTCAGGATGAGTCTGTAAGGCACCAGCCGGATTTCCTGGTGGCAGCTGAGCCGCAGTCCCCGCAGGCGGTGCGCCTGCTTTGGCACCCGGCTGAGCCGGGAGCACCCCTGCTCCTGCCGCACCTGCTGAGCGCAGGGATGCCTGGATGCCCCTGCTGTGACGCTTTGGGGTGGTACTCGGGCTGTCACTGCCCACCACGGTCCGCCCATGGGTGTTGCCCTTGGCCTTGGAGGAGAGCCGCTGCAAGCCGCTGTTGGGTTGGGGTGCCCCCTTGCCAAATCCACCGGCGAGGTGCGATATTTATGTGGGGAGCGCAGGAAGAGTCCAGTGACTTGGGTTGTCGCGTGGGTCTGAAATTCAGCCGGGGCCGTGGGCAGCTGCTGGTGGCGTGGCGTGGCGTGGCGTGGCGTGGCGTGGCGTGGGTGAGGGCTGGGTGCCGGCTGCGCTGGGATGTGGTGCAGGGTTGGCACATGGGCACGCCGCTCTGGCAGAGCCTGCCTCTTGCTGCACACCCGCGGGTGCTCTGGGCCAAGACCCGTCTGCCGGGTCCCCCCCGTGTTGTGCTTAAGCTGGGTTTGATTTTTCTGGGAGCTGATCCCACCATCGGCTGGGGGGGGGGGCTTTGCTTCTTCCTGCCGGTGAGCGCATCCCCAGAGCTGGCAAAGGCGAAAAAGTCACCCGGACATCATCAGCTGGATCACGCATCCTGGCACAAGGGCATTGCCCATCCTCTGGTTGTCCCAAAGAGACAACCCACTGTTTTCTTAGCCACGTTCTACGTTTTTCAATTAGCATCAGCTCTGAATGAATAGTGAAGGGGAAAAAAAAAATCTGTTTGGGCGGTGGGGATGAGGAGAGCGGGACTGTGTCTTTCAAAAACCGCTGTATTGCTAAATTATATTCTTGTTCTAATTTGCTGAGTCAGTGATCTGGAAAAAGGGAGAAAGGGAAAAAAAAAAAAAGTTCATCTCTTCCAAAGAGTCCTAAAGCGGGTCAATAGACTCAGAGCTCGCAGCAGCCGGAGGAGTCGCTCCCTTCTCCCGGTGCTGCTCTGGGTCCGGAGATGATAAATAGCACCGGGAGCCCATGAAACGGTCACCCCCTTGATTGGTTTCCCCATCCCGCGGCTGGCTGAGAAATTGGAGCCGCTGAAATAGGGCTCTTCATGTGATAGACTTGGGCTCCACCAAAGATGGGTCCCCATCCCTCCTGGGCATGACCATAAGCGTGTGGTTCCCACATCTCCTGGGCAGATGTGGGTCGCACCAAGGCATCACTCTCCCCTTTTCAGAGCAGATCCTCCCCTCTCTCAGGCTACCCACTTGCGCCGTCTGTTGCCCGGGTTGAACAAGATTGTGGCCGTATGTGGCTGGGACAGGGAAGGTGGGACCCCGGCTGATGTCCCAAGATCACCTGGGTCAATGACTGGGTTGTTAAACCTCGCCCTACGTCAACCAGCCTTGGTATTGCGTTGTGTTGGGCCAGCCCTAGGGCGACCACCAGCACCTGCCTTGTGGTGGAGACCCATCTGGAGGTGGCGGTGGCCAGGACGCAGAGCTGCTGCCAGCTCGGCAGCTCCATGGACCGCTGGTCCTGGTGGGCTGCCATCACACCGTAGTGCTTGATACCGGGACAGGAGGGGCCATTCAGTGGCCCTTTATATGGGGCTGAAAAATTCACAGGGCCTTGTGAAGCATCGTCCCCCTCTGCGGGGAGCTGTGCCATTGCCTGGGAGAAGAGCAGCCATCAGTGACTCTGGTCTGCCAGCCCGGTGCGTCCAGAGGAGCGTCCTCGGAGAGCCCGGACAGGGGCCGCAGCTGTGATTAAATGTTGATCTAAAATCAAGCAGTAAAAAAAAAAATAGAATTAAACCTTTATGGCAGCATAAATAAATGGGCTAAATCCCTCTGCCGCCATTAAGCTTTATCTGCACATCTACAGAGCCCGAATAACCGGTCGCCGCTGGTGTCCCGGTGCGGTGGTGGCCGCCTGAGGCTCTAAGACCGGCGAGGCAGGTCGGATACTCGGAGCAGGCAGCAGCATGTCCTTGCACCGACCAGGCTCCTCCAGGCTCTGCCAGCCCCAGCAACCACGGGTAATGCCGTGGGGGCTGGTGGCCAGCCCTGGACAGGTCACCCTGGACTTATCTCCAGAGCTGTAGGTCACATGAAGGCCATGAATAGTTGGGATTTGACTCAGCAGAGCTGTCCTCCATCTGGAGAAGCCTTGGTGAAGTGCCTCGGTGCCTCAGCTAGCGCTGGTGTGAGGGTCACTGCCACCCTCACGTGAGTCTCACGGAGAGAGGCTTTTCACCGAGGCCTGTCGTGACAGGACAAGGGGCAACGGTTTTAGACTGAACGAGGGCAGAGTTAGGTTGGACATAAGGAAGAAATGTTTTATGATGAGGGTGGTGAGGCACTGACCAGGTCACCCAAAGAAGTTGTGGATGCCCGATCATTGGAAGGGTGAACCCCAACCTACAGGTCAGGTTGGACGGGGCTTTGAGGAACCTGATCTGGTGAAAGATGTCTCTGTGCACAGCAGGGGGGGTTGGACTGGATGGTCTTTGAAGGTCCCTTCCAACCCAAACAATTCTGTGATTCTGTGATCGTGGGGACGAGGGGGGGATCTATTTTGGGCATCCACATTAGAGCTGGTTGTCCATCTTCCTTTGATAATGAAGGGGCAGAGATGTTTAAGGTGACCTGTATCAGACATCTCCTTTCAGACCCATTAGGAGCCCCCTCTCCCCTCGTTCCTCTCTCCTGGGATGAGTAGGTGGCCCTTGCTGGTGAGTCTGCCACGCTCTGCCCCACCGGTTCTGCATCTGGCACCTTGGGCGGGATCCAGCATGGGCGGCGTGCCGTGCTGCAGCCCCGCTGCATCATTGGCCAGAGGCACTTGTGTCTTCCCCAGATGCCTGGTTACATATCTGGGGAAGTGGTGATGCCTGCAGGTCTCTGCTCATTGACTGCCCCAGCTCAATTTGCCCCGAGGACCGGACACAGGCCGGGAGCAGGAGAAGGTGCAGTCTGTCAGCAGCCTAGCTGGGCACCACCATCTCTTGCCCATTCTCGCCCTTCGCCCCCCTCCCCTTCCCCAAACCCCATGGTTGGGTCATGATGCCTGTGGAAGTGAGCATGTTGGGGTCCCTCCCTCAGGGGTAGGGGGAGACACTGCCCTGGTTACTTATTGTGGCGTGGTGGGTGTCTTGATCCAAGAGAAGGACCCGATGAGAGCCGGCTGGCTCCTGCGTGGGGTTAGGGACCTGAATGTGGCATGGTTATGGCTCTTGGGACAACACATGAGGTGCCCTAGCCCTGCACATGGGCTCAACGCCGGGAGCTGGGGCTGGGGCTGGCTGTCCCCCCAATGCGCCGTGGCAGCCCAGCCGGCCGACCCGCACCCATCACTGCAGCCTGTGGCTTGTTTCCCGTTGGTGTCCCTTGCTTGTTTGGAGATGCAGGAACCAAAGGGCCCGCTGAGGCACGTCCTCTTGGTGATCGTGTGGCCCTCTCTGCTGGCTAGCATGGCTTGGCCTTGCTTGGGGGCTGTTGGCATTGAGAGACATTGTGGTCCTTGCATACTCCACCCATGGTCTCATGAACGTTGCGTGGGCTTCCCACCCCATCCAGCTGGGAAACATCCCAGGTTCTCCTTCCAGAGGACCGCAGAGCCGTTGGGGCCATTGCCCCACACCACCTTTCCTGGAGGTGGCTTCAAAGAGATCTCGTCTTTTCTTGGGCGCTTTGTTGCGTGTGGGGTTGAGCCTGGCGGGACTCATCCCTCTTCCCCCGCAAGATACCGAGAGGTCCCCGGTGGTGCCCAGGGCTGCTCTGTTGGGGACAAGGTTGTTCATCGTGGCCGGGCAGCAGCGGGGTGATGTCCCCTGTGTTCTGAGCAGCTCCCGGGTCTGGTGGCCCCAAGCCCGGCCAGCTCACTCCCTGCCTCAGTTTCCCCCCAAAAGCCCTCCTAAACCCATCTGTTGGCTGGGCTCCTGTCCGCCAGGTGTCCGTCCGTCCGTGACAGGGGAGGTGGGGGCTGGCAGTGAGGGGGCCACCGTGCCGGGCCGTG